GACGGCCAGTTCTAGGAAGGGTTCTGGTCGTCCCAAACGTCTTCCATTTAAGGATTATGGAGGCCACTGTGCTCTTTGGAACCTTAAGTGCAGCAGAAATTTTTTTTGTAACCTTGGCCAGATCTGTGCCTTGCCACAATTCTGTCTGAGCTCTTCAGGCAGTTCCTTTGACCTCATGATTCTCATTTGCTCTGACGTGCACTGTGAGCTGTAGGGTCTTATATGGACAGGTGTGTGGCTTTCCTAATCACGTTCAATCAGTATAATCAAACACAGCTGGACTCAAATGAAGGTGTAGAACCATCTCAGGGATGATCAGCAGAAATGGACAGCACCTAAGTTAAATATATGAGTGTCACAGCAAAGGGTCTGAATACTTATGACCATGTGATATTTCAGTTTTTCTTTTTTAATAAATCTGCAAAAATGTCAAATTCTGTGTTTTTCTGTCAATATGGGGTGCTGTGTGTACATTAATGAGGAAAAAAATTAACTTAAATGATTTTAGCATATGGCTGCAATATAACAAAGAGTGAAAAATTTAAGGGGTCTGAATACTTTCCGTACCCACTGTATACACAAGCCTCAGCACTCACAATTGCATGTACTGTGTCAAACCACAAAGAGGCCACTTAATATAAGCATTGTTTCAGATCAGATTTCTGTTAGCTATCTTTGTGGTGGTATTAATTATTGCAGCTGTAGAAATAAACTAACTTTGATTAGACAATAGCAGTGCATTGTCAAGGAAAGGCGGTATGATCCAAGGGAAGGGCTTCCATTTGTAGAGACTCATCTTCTCTGGGCCTGGCTGCCCTACCCCTAAGCCTCACCTAACCTAAACACATCTTTAAAATACCATTATGAATTCTATTCCTCTGTAAGAGTGAGAGGAATTATAGTTTGTAATATACAGCTTTGCCAAGATCCCTGTCGTCACCATGTTAGTGCATTGTGGAAACATGAACTCTATAACCTTCAAAGTAATCACCACCTAACCATGAAAGTAAACTATCCATTGTCACATCACATACGTGTAATAACGGCACAGGACAGTGGGCGCATATGGAAGGTTAACAAAGTCATGAACTATATCTCACATCCAGATAAACTGTTGTGCCAGCATGCCACTGAAAAAAGAACCAGTGACACTTAATGAGAAATATTACAAGAATACAAAGTAAAATTGTCCTTAAAACATTACATTACAAACGATAAAAAGCCATGTAAGGTTATAATGAATCCCAACCGGAGATTTGGTAATCCTGGGAGAATATTGGTGATGAAACCACCGATGAGTCGGCGCCATCAGGTTCCTTATCGTGCAACCGCTGCGTTATCAACCCCCGCAGCTGCTGCCGCCCAATGGAGAAAGCCGCGGGGAAAGTGGGCCGGTCTTTATAAAATTCCCTCATACATCCGCTTTGTGCTGCACGTTATAAACAAAGCAACACTTGTTTCCCCAGTGACAACTTGCGCTGTTTGAAAAACGTTAGAAGTTTCTGTGGACACTTTTTTCTGTGGACGTGTTCATCCCAGGACAACCAGAAGCAATTTTTTTCCGGGTATTATTATTATTATTATTGTTATTATTATTATTTTGTAAGGATCTGTGCGCTTCCTTCCAGATTGTTTGTTACGTCTGTGCGCTGTTGTTTCTGTTTGGTAATGCACTTTCGGTGAAATACAGTGTTGATAAAGAAAAATTATGTTGTTTCACTTTATCTCTTCGAAACGTGCCAATTGTATTCGACCACAAGTAACAGGTCGACGAACAGACCAAAACATTTCATATATATTTCAGAATTTGTTTAAAGTTTTGTGTTCACAATAAGCAAGCGCAACACATGCTTTATAACGTGTACATAGGCTTTTTGGAATGGCATTGTATATGCTGTTATATACCTATTTCTAAACGGCATGTATCAGGTGTGGCACTACATGTTAGCAGGTTCACATGCAGAGGAATTTGGTCATAGAGCGTCAAGTTTTTAACACGTGACTAGAAGCACGTAGGCTACGCACAGAGCAGGAAGCATCAATTCTATAAACAAATAAAATCAGGAGACCGCCAATCGTCTTTGCTTTCTAATATGAAGAAAAATAAAGCATACACATGGGTGAAGGAGATGGTGCTTGAAAATGGAACTTAAAGAAAATGTTTATTAACTTATTAACATAGTTTTATACTGACTTATACAATTTTGTGTTATGCAAATAATCTATCTTTTAAGCCGAGAGCTGCCGGAACAAAATGTCGTTATGCTATGCATAATGACAATAAAGATTCTTGACTTGACTTAAGGCATTAATGGCATTCTGCCAAAATAGAAAGCATATCTTCCATTAGTGCCTATCAAAACAAGGCTGCATCTCTGACCTGTTTTTAAATTGTGTTTCCATCCAATTATTATGTTGAGATATGCCTTTAATCCTTTTTGAAAGATCATGAGAGATATGCCTTTAATCCTTTTTGAAAGCTCATGAACCTGATCTCATGTGTACACAGCAGGCCTGGTGGTCATACAGGAGGATACAACTCACAATAAACAGTAGCAGCAGCTGTTTGAAGCATTGATGGTGCTTTTTAAAAATGATTTTTCTTCCCACGGAACTGCTGGTGATCCCCTAAAACCGCCGCGAACCCCCCTGTCTCACCAACCTACTGTAGCAGTAGAGACACCCATATTTTGGTATCTTTTACAGTATGAAAATGTAGGTCTGTGATAATTTAGTCCAGTGGGCCTGCTGCCTCAACGCTGATGTTTCAGAACTAGGGATTTAGTGAGGATTAAGTGAGGTCCTATAGATTAGGGAAGCAATCATTGTTTTCACAGATGAATGCCACAGGTTCATGGATTTAAAACTGTATGGAGGCGATGAAGGAAGGATGGCCTTGATTCTGGCGCCTTAACACTGAGACTTGCTGTCCAAATCTAATCGGTACATGTGTTTCTTTCTGTCAGTGAACATGTTGTTTTGTAAGCTGGGTATTTTAGCCCGAAGTAGTGTGTTTGTGGATTTACCGTGGAACAGGCACTGTTATGTAGGCCCGCTTTGGTGTAGTTGTTTCCCTCTAACGCTCAAACCACGTTGTCTCACTGTCAGGTCAAAACACTGGATTTTCAAAGCATCTGCTTTTCAGGAAACAACACGAAAAACTTAATCATGACAGTTAGAGTCAAGGCTTGAAAAAATAATGGAACAATATAGTAATGAGGAGGCTTTATTATAATCTACAACCCTGAATCAGGAAAAGTTGGCACAGTATGTAAAATCATAAATAAAATCATCTGTGTCCTGTATTACATTGAAAACAATACAGCAGCACATTATTTCATGCGATACCTCATCAACTTTATTCTTTATTCAAAATAAACACTCACTTCAATTCTGATGTGCTTTCCCAACTTTTCCTGATTTGGGGTTGTTCTTGTCATGGGGCTTTGATTCAGCAAATTGTGTTTGAGATGTACTGGCCTGTATTCCACAGAAAAGTGGTGCATTTGTGTTCTTTGTTTTTGGCAGAGGATTTTGGCCTGCATGTTTCGGATCATCCCTGGCCGATATCCTCCCACTTCCTGTTCATAATTACATAACACATTCTCACTTCTGCCAGGGCAAAGATGTT